TAATTTAAAACTAGCCAATAGCGGGGAACGAATTTGCATACTGGTGGCGGGAACTCTTTTGCACCGTGCATTCCTCTTGCAACTTGAGCAATGCACTCTGCAAAAGAAGCTGCAAAGAGGCGGGAAACTCGTCCCTGCACCGGGGTTCTCCTCTGCAACAGGAAACTCTCCTGTGCAATGAAGCTGCAACTTGGCGGGGATAATTCTGGTGCCGAAGCACACACAAAATCATGCCTTTGGGTCATGACATGTGGAACTTGCGCGCAGGGAAGGGGTTCGTCGAGGGATCGTTCGGCGACAGGGAGAGGCCAGAGGTTGATCAGACCCCTATAGCCTTCTCAAGGTACATGCTGAGTCCAATAGGCTCCGCAGCGCTTAGAGATCTTCACGAGATGTGAAGTTCTCCTCCTCCAGATGGTTGTGGAGTCCTCCCTTGCGGGGTTCTCCTCAGAGTTCTCCAACTTGGGCGGAAACTGCTCAAGCCTCTTATACGGCTAGCAAGCCAATCGCTAGCCGCCACGTGGGAATAATTTAGAACTGGCCAATAGCGGGACACAAATTTGCATGCAGGTGGCGGGAACTCCTTTGCACCGTGCATTTCTCTTTGCAACTAAGAAATGCACCCTGCAAAGAAAGCACCGAGTGGCGGGAAATAATTTAGCAGTGCCGAAGCACACACACACCAAATCACACCCTTGGGTTGTGACAGTCAGTCTTTTATATTAAATTGTCTATAGAGGGAAAAATTGCTTACCAAGTTTTAGCTATTAATTCATATTATCTATATGAATTATTCAAATCATATTTATGGCTTTTTCTAAAAATATAATTTGAATAATTCATATGGATATTCTTTTCAATAACATTCACAAAAAATAAGCATGATTAAAAACAAACACATTTCATCATGGCAAAAAACATGAAAACACATTCAAAGTGTTTAAGAAAATCTAGCGCACAACATATATGATGCCAACAACATGCATAAATCTTAGAAAACTCCACTAGGATATAATGAACACTGATTCACCTTATGAATGTTATTTTCAAACCTTTTGCAAACCCCAAACTTTCACTACAACTGAAAATAAGATCACATAATGAAACATTGAGAATAGTATTGGACTTGGTGCTTGAAAAGGCACTCCAGGGTACCAAAACCATTTACATTAGACAGAAATCTAACTATGTAACTCAGCAAGCTCAACATTAACTCAGAAGAGTTCTAGTATTACTTACATCCTATATATTATTTTAAAACAAGGAAGTCTATCAGTGTGCAAAAGAGAGCTCTGTAAAACAAGCAGCATGCAAGAAGAATAATTTAAGGTAAGTAATTACATTCAGGAAATTGAGAGAGATACGCGGCTCCCACAATGTACCTTATAACATGCAACATCATTTTCAGTTCCAGTTACCTATGTTCCACACAAATGTGCATTCCCTCCCCCTCACTCTTTTTACTGAAAATTAATTAAATCCAAAATAAACGTTTACATACCTGAGATTAAAGGAATAATTGCTTACTCTAAAAGGATCGATCTTGCATTGTTTTGCAGTTTCCTGCATGTTCTTTGGGTGCTTTTATTTTGAATCTTTGTCAGATATTGAACTCTATTTAAATTATAATGTAGAAAACCAACCTATCAACTGAAACATTCAAGACAGAAATCAGTTGCATCTGTCTGCCTGAATCCTCTGCAGCGATCAGTTTACTTTGGCATGCACTAGAGATCATTGAAAACTTTTTAAACTGGCTTCTGTATTTCATGTCTTCAGAAACAAGATTTACAGCCTCAGTTTTAAGACCCCGCCCACTAAATAGGGTTTATCAGTTTATAGATAGGCAAAGTATTCTGATAATCAGTACCTATCAGATATGACTTCTGCTAACCCACACTAAATATGACTCTTACATAGCAACACAAGGTCATTATTTATCATTAACAAGAATACTTAAATACCTTTTTAAAAGCCTTTGGATTATGCTGCACTTAGCCTGCTGGCCAGTTATTGCATGTCCTTTCCCAAAAATGCCTGACAGAAAAAGGACTGGGATGCAGAAAGGACAGAGCAGAACTTAGACCATAGAGGGCATTAGGCAGGGCAGGGTGGCACCTCAAAGACTAAAAGGTTAAAAAATGAATATGCTTTTGTAGGCACAGGCAATGAAGTTTTTAGCAGTGTAACTTGTTTACACCGGTGTATACAAGAATGGACAGATAATATCAACTCCTACCACAGTGCAATTTACTTAAATCTAGTGTAGAAATGTCCTGGGAAAATTATGGGGAAAACTACACTGGTATAGATGACTTCTATCTGCTTTCCTCCCAGAGTAGCTCTATGATCAGTGCAAACATGGTGCTACTGACCATCTACCACTTAACTGCAAGACACGGTGGGCATCTATGCACGTGATTGGGAGAGGGTTGCAAGGAAAGAAAAGCTACTCTAATTAAAGAACCCCCGGCATCACACGTATTCAGCATCATTCAATGAGTTTTAGTTAAAGTGCCCCTGCAGCCATTTTGAAATATGGATGGGGACATTGAATATACACGAGGTGGAGGCTGCTGGAGTGCGCTAGTTAGCATGCCCCAGCAGACTCACAGCAGACTTGACTAACTGAGTCTGCTCTGATGCATGCTAATTAGCGCACATTGGAGTAGATGTCCATCACTTGTATAGGTGCCATGTAACAGCACCCCACTACAAGAAGCTATACCTGAGTAGCTGGCTTGTACATCCTGGTGTAACAAAACAATGTAAATGAATACCCAAAGTACCAAAACTAGAGCCATATCAGGCCTATTAGATGAAGAACCCAAGAATATCATCATTTCAGGGAGAAGTTAACTCAAAGAGGCATTTTGGGGTATAAGATATGGAAAATGCTAAGGAACAATACATCCTGTACTTTCTTATTAGATTGCCCTATAAGTACTTATTTCAGAATTAAGCTGTACTTCCTTTCTGTGAACAGCCAGTACAGTTCTGTAGGAGTGTTTGCTTGCTTACTTTTCTGCCAGACTTAATCAGAAATCCTTCTCTATCCATAGATGTTTATGCAAGGATGGCCTGGGAACCTGCCAAGGACAAGATCCAGGCTTGGAAAAGCTATAAAGAATGTCTTCAGACTCACAGGAAGACAAGGTTCTTTGGGTGAGTCTGACATCTTTTATTAGACAAACTTAAATAGTTGGGGGGAAAACATTTTAGCAAGCTTTTGGGTTTAAAAACTCTTCATCAGGCTGGAGAAGTCTCTGCAGTTGGTGTGTGCTCTTCCTGGAATAGACCAACACGGCAACAACCTACACCACTTCAGACTCACGTAATGCTACCAAATGCCATGCAGCCTACCTCTGATACTTACGTTTGACATTGCAATCCCTACTGCAAATCCTCAGTAATGTTCCCATTTTTCTTATCAGCTACTGCATTGCACTGCTTCTGAACAAGGCAAACTCCCTGCTGTCTATCCGATGACTCTGTACTACTGGCACAGACAGCGACAGTTGAGGTAAAAATCTGCACAGGACTAATTAGTCCTTAGAGTACAACCCACATAGCCACTCAATGACAGCTTTAGCAGCTCAGACTGTTGCCTCTGCTACTTGTCAAACCCGTCTCTGTCTGCATGTGGATCCAGCAATAGCCAAGACAGCACTCTGCTGGACTCATCTCTGATAAGCTTCCTGAAACAATTCCATCTTGGCCCACACATGCATTTCTAAGATTGTAGTTGGTGGGATATAACTCTCCCCAGCTGTCCCCAAATTAATTCCATATAACCACAAGAGCAGCTTTTAATGGCCTGTAGCTAATTTCTCCACTACATATGCTCCAACTCCATAAGCATCTGTGTAAAATAACTGCTAAAATAAGCCAAAATGACTCTTTACAGAGACTGTGCAGAAACATGAAAAAAATACTAGAAAGCTTTATCTAAAAGACATAGGGGAAATGAAAGAGTCAACAGCTATTCCACAAGCACAGGAACCCACACAAGTTCCATCCTCACCAATGTACATATTCACAGGATATTGTCATGACAGTCTGTTCCCTGCCATTGAAGAAGCTTCAGCGCTCTCAAGAAAATGAAAAGAAAACAGGATAGCTAGACAATAACATGAATAGCAAGGTTATTCCCCCCTCCCCCTCACCCCCCGCTCCCTACTAAATCCACCTTTGTTGCCTCACTGTTCAAGAACCTGTTGTTATCCTTCATCCTTTTTCAAAGACATACATAGCCCCCCTCCTCATCCTCCCCCCATCTCCCAGGTGTTTCCAGGGCAAAAAGAAAGATTAGGAAAATCACTGGTCATGCAGGCAAACCTAAAGGAACATTTTTCTTCTGGGTCTCAGTGAATCTGATACCTGTATTCCATAAGGAAGCTACTAGGTCAACTACAAAAAAAGCACAACAGAAAACACAAAACTCAAAGTAATAAGCTACTGAATCTACTGAAAACAGTCATTGTTCTCATCTTTTCAAGCACCACTACTCAGAACGGGATGTTCTTTGTGGTTGCAACAGCGCAATTTTCTTGAGTAAGCTGCTAACTGAAAAAGAATAGGCAGTCCGAGCACTGATAGGCTTTAGATAACATGCACTGTGATGTTACAGCAACTGCCAGAAATGGTCGTTGACTTGATAGCAGCAAGGGAAAGTGCTGGTATAGACAGAGCTCAAGAGATTTTTATTTTGTACCTCTGCATCATCCAAACCTTCACTGCATCAATGTTTTTAAACTGTGCTAGCGGTTTGGCTTGGGTTTAGCTTCTACGTCATCAGTAACTGCTGCAGTAATCTAGGCACTGATTTACTGATTTTCTAATGTAGATATACCCACAGTGATCCCTGTTGCAGGACTGGTTGCATTGATTTCAACTGAGCAATTTATTTGGGGAACTTTTTGATCCACCTTCTAAGGCTGTTAGAATCATGATACTTCTAAAATCCAGAGTAAACATATAATTTGTTAGGAGAGGTCAGGGATTCTCAAGTAGATACAGGAAGGTTTGATAGAGCCCTTCTTTCCACAATCTCTTGCTTGCATAAGGGTGTATAACAGGGAACCTGGGACCCCTGTTACTTTGAGAGAGAGACTGCAGCAGAAAGGGCCCCAGGCAACTGAACAGGGGTTAGCTGCAGGAGGGAAGGCAGCAAGGAAGCAACTGCAGCCTAGATGCAGTTGTAATATGAAAGTAATGCTTGTAACAGCAGGAGGAACCAGGGGGCAGTTTGCAGAGCTGTGTTGATTGTTAATTTGGACTACAGCTCCCAGAAACCCCCCAGGGACTGAGGGGGCAAGCGAAAAAGGAAGAGGAAGCTTCAGGCTGGAGAAAGGGGAAGAGGGAGCAGTGTGTACATGGAAACTGTTTGGGGATTTGGGGAGTTTTTTGTTTTTTAAGGAAATATGTTGTGTTCCAAGCCAAATCAAGTCCAAATCCATGAGTCAGTCCAGAACCATAAGTGGCCCTACAACTGCAAGAGAAGGCTGAGGGGGGATATAGTGGCCGTTTACAAACTAGTCAGGGGGAACCAGCAGGCATTGGGAGAGTCCCTGGTCCCCCGAGCACTACCAGGAGTGACAAGAAATAACAGTCACAAGCTGGCAGAGGGTAGATTCAGGCTAGATATCAGGAGGCGCTACTTCACTGTCAGGGCGGCTAGGATCTGGAACCAACTTCCAAGAGAAGTGGTACTGGCTCCTACCCTGGGGGTCTTTAAAAGGAGGCTGGATGAACATCTGGCCAGGGTCGTTTGACCCCAGTACTCTTTCCTGCCACGGCAGGGGGGGGGGCTCGGACTTGATGAACTGCTCAGGTCCCTTCCGACCCTACCAATTATGAAACTATGAAACCAATAAACATCCTCCATCCCCACCTGGGATTTCAGATGTTTCCTAGGTCTTTGGTAGGCATCCTACATGCAGGCGCAAACCCAGAGGCTTGGGGTTTAGATGCCCCCAAGTTTTGCTTGCCCTCAGCTATATGGTCACAGGAGCAAGCTAGGGAGGAGCCTCCCATTTCCATCAAATGGGCTTAAAGCCCCAAAACCTTGATGGGTACTAAACCACACCAGAAGAGCAGTTATCCCCAGGCACGCTTAAGGAAAACTGCCGTCATGGACCCAGATACATGGCCAGCCCTACACAGAGGAGTGCACAGTGGAGCTGGAGATCTCACTGGCTTGGTCAGTGGACTGAAGAGCTGGACTCAGAAATGGGGGCAGCTCCACACTGCTGTTTGAACACTAGGGACTAAAGTCTTGCCTGGGATAGGGTTACCATACGCCTGAGTTTTCCCCAACATTTCCTCTTTTTGGCCCCTTGTCCTCCATCCAGGTGTGTTTTTTAAAATGCAAGCAAATGTCCAGGTTTTTCCTTTGCCTCTGCTTTTGCTTGGGGCTGGAGGTCAGTGGAGAAGCTGATTGGCTATCGGGAGATCACGTGCTCTGTGCACAGGCCCTGGCAACTGCTGGAAGGTGTGCTTGTATGTGTGCAAGCAAGCTGCTTGGGCAGCAGGGCTGGGGGGGTGAGGGGGGAGCAGGGGCTGTAGGTCAGAAGTGCAGGGCACTGGCAGGGTTGGGGGGGGAGGGGACTGCAGGTTAGGAGTGAGGGGCACCAGGGAATGAGGGGCCCTGGTGCAAGGGGCTAGAGATCAGGAGTGAGGGGCACTGGCAGGACTGGGAGGAAGCAGGGGACTGCAGGTTGGGAGTGCGGAGCACCAGCAGGGCTGGGGGGGCCA